ACAGCATTCAATCTCTTTCAGTATTTAATATGAAGATTGTACACTTAAAACTCTGAGATTCAATGTACTAAGTGTTTGAAAGGTTTTATTGTTAATTATAGATAGATAAGACATTTATAATCTGTGATCACTATTGTTGTATATCTGTTGTTAATATATCTATCTCATAATGTTAGTATATGCTTAATCACTAGCAATTTCTTTTCATGTACTGAGTAATTAAGCTCAGCATCTGATAGTTTTCTATCATTGTATGTCATTAAATACAGCTTACTGTTCTTACTCATCTGTAAAAGAGTGTCTCTGATAGCTCATTCAGATGTGTCTATCTCAATGTAGAAGGATTTATTATAATCTGATTAAATAAGCACTGAGAATGTTGTTATACATTCTCTCACTGTGAGAAAAGCCTCTTCATACATAGTATTTCAGATGATTGAATAAAACTTCTTCTTTCACAGATTTGTATTCATTTCTCTTAAGAGATCTGAGAGTGATGCAGATATTCATACAAAATTCTTGATAAATCTGTGATAATATGAGATCAACTCAAGAAACTGTTATACATAGTGTATATTTCTCAGTTATAATCAATTTGCTATGATATTCAATTTCTTCAGAATGAGATATATACAGTCATCACTCACTATATATTCTATAAACTTTAACTCTTTCATTTCAAATACATACTTTGTTGATTTAATATAGAGCTTATACTCTGTCAGAGTTGTAAGCATCTTATCAAGATACTTCAGATATTCATTGTATGAGTTTGAAAAGACTAGAATATTATTGAGATATACAAGATATGAGATTTTATTCTGTTTATAAAGAATTGTATTTATTATCATTTGAAAGATAATAGATGCATTTATCAGACTGAATAATATTATCAGAAATTTGAACTTTCTTTATTATATATTAAACACAGTTTGTGAAACTGACAGTTCATCTACATGAATCTGTCAGTATTCTGAGAGAAGATTAATCTTTAATAGATATCAGATATTTTCAACTGTATTCAACTGTTATTGAATCTATGATAATGAATATTCATTCTTGATTATAAGCTTGTTAAGTGCTTAATAATCAATACACATCTGTCACTTCTTATCTATCTTTTTCACAAATAGAACTGAAAAGTCTTATACACTTAATAAGAGTTATATAAGATCATGTTCTAGAAGGTCTGTGATCTAATACTTCTGTTCTTCAAGATACATTTGTGACAGAGAGTATGCATTCTGATTGATTTATTTTACATTCTCTATGTTAATCTGATATATGAATTCTCATTCTGATGACAATTTCAGTGAAAGATCTGTTCAGAAGATCTTCTCATACTTCTTCAGAAGCTTCTTTATACACTTGTTCTTCTGTATATTCTTAATCTTGATTTTCTCTGCTTCTGAGTTCTGTATAACATCCAGAATGCTTTCAGATAAAATCTTGTAAATTATTCTCTTTACTTATTAGTGTATAAGCAGATTTAACTCTTTTATATCAGAAGTGTGAAATGTTCTTCTTATATCAGTTGATAGAATTGTATGAATCATTCTCTGTCTATCAGTCAACTGTATATAACATGTATATTATTGAATCTGTGAATTGAATCTTTGAAATCAATCAAGTTTAAGAATAAAATTATATTTCATGTTCTACAGCTCTCACACTCAAGTATAGCAAGATTATTCTCTGAAGTGTAAGAGAACTCTTACTCTTGTAGATAATATCAAATATCAGTTATCAGATAATCTTATATATTGAGAATTCTTCACTCAGTGAATCTCTTTCAGGCTTCAGATTATATAATCATTAATATATTATATAGAAACTTCTGTGTCTGCTAATACTTTTACAGTTATCTCTCAATTCTTACTCAAGTGTCTCTTATATATTAACATTTCAGATCTTAAGATATTGAGATGAGTATCTGCTTCATTATTCTCACCTGCATCTCATTCAGAAGCCTGCTTTCTCTTGATATTTATAGAATTCAGAGAGTCATCTAACATGAGCATCTCTTTCACTTTGAAGACTTTTTATAGAATATTAGTGAGTGTCTTCAAGCTCACTGATTCTGCTAGTTTTTTAACTCTCTTACTTCTCTTGACTGTGTATACTGAATGCAATCTTTTATACTATGATTTTGATATTTACAGTTGAAGTAAGCTCAATGCTTATAATATTAAGATTTTCACTTAGAGAATTTCTTTTTCAGAAAATTCAGTGCTTTAGTAATAACATTCAGATCTAGATTCATTACATTCAGATATATAACTTGTATCATAGAAGTCTGATTATCTATTCTCTACTGAGATATACTTGATTACAGTATTTTCTATTATAATTGACTTACTTGTTTCTGTATAATAAGAATATTGTATACTTCTTTCACTATATCTGATTATGAGATTAAGTATTTTCATTTCACTCTTAACTCAGATGTAAGATCATGAATGAAGATCTGTAAACAGAAAGATATTAAAAGCTCTTTATTTAACACAAGATAGTATAAGCTGAAGTGTGTGAAATATAATATAAGATTACTTACTTATCTACACTCAGTGAAGTATTCATAATACTTATCTCATATATTTACTTTCTCAAAGTTGTGTAAGATTTATTTGAAAAACTTATTTCATATTTATAAGAATGAATATTACTTCAGATCTGTGAGATTTATCTTTTTATCAGTTATTTATAATGATTTTGCTTTTTCATGTAGAAATGTAGCAGATCTTAAGACTTGTTAAAATTCTGTTAACTGTCTATCTGTGAGTTCATATTCAATCTGATAATATAATTACATCTGACTTAGTCAGCTGATTACAGCATCATTTTTTCAGTTATTATTGAAGCTTAATAACTCAGACAGATCTTTCAGCTTGATATATTTTATACTCAGATTCTCATTCTATGCATCAGTCTCTGATAATATATATACTTCTGAAGAGATTATGAATAATTGTAATAAAATCTTCAGATTCAGTGTAGTTATCTGTCTGTGTAAATATTTGTTCTCTCACTACAGATCTAAGATCTGGTTTTCTCTATTCTTATTAATGATGATGATTGCATCAGTGAAGCTCTTTATAGTGAATACTTAATTTACTATGAATATCAATTGTTATTTAACTTCTGTCTTGATCTGCTACTGTGTATACAAGACCTTGATCTTATTTAGAATTCTTATATATATACAGAGCTTCAATTCCAGTTCAGTAGTTTTAACTGTTTTTCTTACTACTTTAAATTAACTCTCTGAGAGATTCTGCATATCTTTCAGTTCAGATAGCAGAGAAGAGTATTATTTATATTAACTAGAAAAGATATTCATTTCAGTGATTTCTCATTGATTATATAATGTCTATCATTATATTACTATATTATTATATTACTATATTATTATATAATTTCTGTTATTATTGTATAACTTTGATGATAATCATTCTCTCTTTTTATTCTTCTTTTAAGTAGAAAGTGAACTTCTTTAAATCTGATTTACTACTCTCATTCTCTTTCTTACATCTTATCTATTCACATACATAGCATTCATCTGAGTGTGAAGTTTTTTCTCAATAAGCAAAGTAGTATTAATCAGATACTCTTTTACTTATCATTCTTTATATACTATTTTTTAAGATGTTCTAGAATCACACTGATATAATAACTATAAATCACTTTGTAGACAGAATTATCACACTCTGAAGAAGTCTGCACTTCTCACCAGTTTTTAGACATGCTATCAGATGTGATTCAAAGATTGCTTGAGTCAGCATATGATTACAGGCGTACACTGACTTCTTATATATTGTACACTAAATTAATTAGTGGCTGCTATGGCCCCTTTACATTTGTAAGCAAGTTCGGAAGCGGCCGCGTTATTATCCGATGATTGTACGTTCTTCCGAACCACACTATAATATCTAGAGATTTAGTGAGTTCATCTGCTATCATCTAAGTGATAAAAAATATTTCAAATTGATGACTCTCTGATGCAACTGTTAATATGAAAAATGAAAACATGTATTAATATACTTACTTCAGACTGTAATAACTGTTCTCTTTGTAAAATCTATAATATTCTTATTATCAGTTAGAATTCATATCAGAGATGTGATGATAAAGCTAAGCTCAATTATAAGATTTTAAATTCATGTTACTTTGTGAACTGTCTTACTAAGAGTCATATATTTAGTCTTATTAGAACTTAGAGATATGCAAGACTGCTTTACTGAATATCATGAAATCAGACTGCTTATAAACTTAAATATATAACTGAATATTGATTTTCTATCATCATTCAAGAGACCTGCTCAATCAGAATCCGAGTAGTCAAAGAGTAAGTGTAACATGACGGAACCGAAGCGGTTACTAATCAGTGATATTATATAGGTAGTTATCTAGAGAAGCTGTATAAGTAGACTTAATTATCTTGATTAAATAGTGAGCTCATAAGCTACAGAGTTATTGCAAGAATATCATAGATGTAGTACTTAGTATGCTAAGAAGATTGTATAAGAATTGCAGTAACTCTTGTATATATTCTCAGTAGAAGAAAATGAATCACTGACTTCTTTGATAGAGAGTCAGCATCTAGTTATTCTATATAGATAATGAGTAAATATTCTTCTTCTATTCTATAAGTGAGAATAGTCAGAGTGATATCTCAGTGATATCTCACTGCTATGAAAGAAGCAATCTGCTGACCTTGTATAGAAGTGAGATTCTTATAGTTATCAATCAAATTCTCTTATATTGTATCTGAGTAATATCATAGAGTGATTGAAAACTGGTTTGAATGACCTACAGAATGAATGAAATTATTCACAGAGAAGTGATAAACTGTGTGAAGCTGTAACAGAGTCTTGACATAATCAGAGATATGATAATATTCTTCTCTTTAAAAGCATAGTTCTGATGCTCTCAAGATCATCAGATTAGAAATTATCTTTATTGTATAATAACAGTTGCTAACTGATTTAACAGTGCATGTGAAAAAGAAAGAAAGAAAGAAAGAAAAGAAACGATTTCCATAAGATGTACACGTACATGTACAAGAGTAATGTATTTTAACATGGTAAAAGTAGAAAACGGTCGCAGCATTATGAATCGGGAGAAGCTGGTGAAATTGTTCTTGTATACTATAATGATACTGTTTTATATCGCTAAAACAGTTTTTCTGCTTCTGGTTTCAGAGGTTGGCTCCGCGCTTGATGTAGTAGTTGATAGCGATGGCGGCTAGATATTTTTTTCATGAAAATTATTTTTGTTAGTGAAGGGGGATATTCATTGGTGATGGTAAAGAGGAGATAGTTTAAGGAAAGATAAGAGCGAGTATTGTGTTTTTTTTGCTCTTGGGGCTTCTTGTGCTGGGTGAAATATTGGGTATCGAGGTTTCAACAAATAAGAGAGAAAAAAATATATAGGGCAAAGAGACTGGGATGTACATGATGTAGTAGGTGATGTACAAGAAGAGTATTAAAGGGAATGGTCGGAAATGAACCGGTACAGAAAGGGGACCAAGGGGAACAGGAATATGGGTGATGATAAACATCGTGAGAGGGATGGGGGCTTATTTAAGTGGAGTTCTTTGGCTTCGAGTCTAGTTCGAAAAACGTAACAGGTTGGCATATATATGGCAAGAGTTCGGATAAGTTGAAGTCGAATTGTGAATGGGGTATAGAAAATGACAAAATAGAAAACAAAAAGTTAAAAAAAAGGAGCAAATGAACTTCGAAGAAGATAGTGGAAAAGATAAGGAGAATTTCACTAACCAATAGCCGCAACAGCCGCACGACTCGCCCCAGACTTATTAGCCCCGCCAAACGTAACAAACCAAACAATCCAGCCCAAAAGGCCCGTCGTCGTCTTCCCATTCCGATCGAAATTGGGCGCTACGGCGTTGGACTTGAGCGTCTTCTGCAACTTGCCAGCGTATGGTGGGTATCGAACAGAGAGGACGCGCTCGACCCAGCCTGGTGTGGCGGCGATCGACCGTCGGTGCACAAAGGAGTCGAAGCTGCTTCGCCCGTGGTAGCAGCCGGTTCCACTCTCACCGACACCGCCGAACGTAAGGTTGGGATGCTAGCGTGCATGAAGGAATCGTTGATGGTTGCGCCTCCGGAGCGAACGGCGGATAGGACTACGGGAGGAATTTTATATTAGTCTTAATTATGATTTTAGAAATTCGGGGATATAAAGCGAAAGAACAAGGGTCTTTTTGGGGAGGAGGACGGTGGGGGGTTGGTAGTGAATATAAAAAGAACGTACCCTTTTCGACCTCCTGCTTCGTTCCAAATGGGTAAATAGCCAACGGAGTGCTATCAACGTCATTCGCGATTCTGATCGCTTCATCGAGATTGTTCACAGGCAAAAGCGTAATAATTGGACCGAAGGTCTCCTGGCGAACAAGAGGATCGTCCGCAGAGTCGACCTGGACCAAAGTCGGCTCGATAAACCGCTCTTTCTCATCCATTGTGCCTCCGAGCAGAATCTTGCCATTTGTGCTATCAATCATGCCTTTAACCCGGCGGAAAGCGGCATCACTAACGATACGGCAGTAGTCAGGGGACGCCTTCACGCCATCTGGGTAGTATTCCTTCCACGCCTTGCCAAACTCCGTCACCAGCTGTGACACCACCTCTTTATCGACAAGTATGTAGTTTTGCGACAGGCAAATTTGACCAGCGTTGAAAGTTTTACCCCATAATAGCCGCCTTGCAGCCAGTCTCAAGTTAGCTTTCTTGGTGATGAATGCTGGGTTGCGGCCACCAAGCTCAAGGAGAACTGGGGTCAAGTTGGGAGCGGCCGCTTTGGCAACAATGCGACCCACGGTTGCGCTGCCAGTGAAGCAGATTTTATCCCAACGTTCGCTTAGAAGAGCCTGGGTTTCCGGAACGCCTCCTTGGATGACAGTGACAACATCTGGATCGAACGCAGCTGTAATGATTTCTCCCAGGACAGCGGCGCAGTTGGGGGATGTTTCGCTGGGTTTAACCACGACGGTATTTCCTGCCGCGATGGCACCAATTAATGGACCAAGTGTCAGGCCAAATGGAACATTAAAGGCTCTGTATAAAAAGGAAAAAAGTTAGGGGACGTTCCATTTTATTAGTTCACACGCCGAACGTATGTCTTTAGCGGAGGCGGGGGGTGGGGAGATGTATGTTTTTTTTCTTCCGTACGCAGCTTACCCGATTACAAGAACGCAACCCAAGGGGTCCTTTCTGATTGTCGGCTTCATCAACGTGAAGGGCAAGTCGACATCCTGCGCTTTCTCATCTTTGGCCCATTTGGCCACGTTCTTCTGAACGAAGACGATGTCATTCTCCACCATTCCGATTTCTGATACGTAGGCTTCATATTTTGGCTTCCCCAAATCCAGACGAAGTGCCTCCGCGACTTGATCTTCACGATCTTTCAGCCTGTCGTCGATTCAATTGATGGAAACGAATTAGCTTGACACGGATAGATATTAAAGTTGACAACAAAATTTATTTGGGGAAGAAAGAAAAATTAAAAATTAAAATAAGTGGGGTCAAAATAAAAATTAGACACTCACGCCCAATATAGCTTTCGCAGCTGTTGAATCCGGAACTCGATAGGGCGAGTCTTGTGTAGGAAGAAAGTATTGCGGACTCCCTTGACCTTGTTAGGGATCTCCTCCACAGGGGTGGGAACAAACTGCGGGAGGTCGATGGTCGACATGTTGAACCAGGTGGACGCTTTGGTCGATGCTCGTTATATATCGACTAAAGTGGCGAGCGGGTTCCCTGCTGTAGATACCTAGGTACCCGATAGATTGGAGAGGATCGAATGGTAGTTATCTCTTTATCTCCTTAGTATATGGGTAAGTGTGGTGGCGATGGGAGCTGTGCGCGAAGAGAGGACATGGCTTTGACTATATAGGCGCGAGCACAAGCGAAGCGACGGGGAGTTGCGAGAGCCTCTGCTGTGTAGAAACGATAATGCTCAGGAATAATCATACAGAGTAGAATAGGGGAGTATGTATTGGTATGTAGTTAATGGTCCTGGTAATAATAATAGATAGAACCACCTGCCGCTGAATACGAATACGAACTTGCTTTATTACGCAGTACAATTCTGAGCATGGAGTTATGAGTAAAAGAGTACATACAGCACATACAATGTTACATAGAGATAATTCACTGTTTTGATAGCAGACAAAGAGCCTGGGATTGGATTTCTCCTATTAATTACGAGTGCTGGGTGCCCGTATTACCGAAACGTGTTCCAAAGCTTTTCCTAGAAGAAGAATGGGTTTGCCCGCAAATCCGGGGTCAAAAAGTACCGAGGTGTAACTAAAGAATGCATTTGCCCTCTTTTGGTATAGGAACTGTCTTGGCTGCTGTTAGGGCTTGATTACATGATATTACTGATTCTTGAGAAGGAGAACTAATAACGTGTATACAGAAAACTTGACCTCGCTAATCTTGGAGGATAACGTTCTTGTGTTGTGTGGTGTAATCTATCTACGCATGTTACACTAAATGGATAGGTTGGGGTGGCACGTGACTAGGGTAGGTGTAGTAATCACCAACACCCCCCCTTGCTACACTGTGGCCTATAAGCCGCCACCCGGGGCCTCCCCCATCCTCAAATCTTTCAAAAATGCAATAATAATTAATTACATCAATTGGACCCTGATTTCCTCATTAGGGAAGGCGTCCGTATGACAATAACTGTAAAAATCAAGAAATACATGCAAAATTCATTGATCTGCTGTATCTAGACTGACCGTGTGACCGTGTCTGAGACCAGGACCAGATTTTTTGATAGTCCCATTACCAATTCGACTGATCCCATTACACAGTTTTAACATTAGATAGTAGTCTCATACTGTCTCAGTGAGACTTACTGTCTGCTAGACTGGCCGCCAGGATCATGAATTTCACGTTTGATTTCATTTGGTCTGATCTCATACCTTTCTTGATGTGAATCCCGCTGGGACTAATCATTAAAAAAACATGCAAAGTGACTATATATCAGATCTTAAAATGAGATCATGACTTAGAAAAAGTAAGAAAGTGATTTCATTTAGTCTCATTTAGTCTCATTCTTGGTATAAAGTTATTATTTTTAGACATTTTAAGGTTTTTATTAGACTATTTTTAATTTTTTAAAAAGTAATACTTTTTGATAACACTCAAATAAAATTTAAAGTCATTTAAAGCAATAAAAATAATTTAAATTGAGAAGTGAAAATCATGATCTCATTTAAAAAATGTGATAAGAGTAGACAGTAAGTCTCACTGAAACAGTATGAAACTACTATTTAATATTAAAACTGTGTAATGAAATCAGTTGAATTGATAATAAAATCATCAAATATTCTGATCCTGATTTCAGACATGATTACACAGTCAGTCTACTGTCTACTCTTGTTATATTTGTTAAATGAAATCATGATTTTCACTTCTTACTTTAAATTATTTTTATTGCTTTAAATAACTTTAAATCTCATTTAAGTATTATCAAAAAGTGTTACTTTTTAACAAATTAAAAATAGTCTAAAAAAAACCTTAAAATATCTAAAAATAGTAACTTTATATCAAGAATGAAACTAAATGAAATCAAATGAAATCACTTTCTTATTTTTTTCAAGTCATGATTTCATTTTAAGATCTGATATATAGTCACTTTATATGTTTATTTAATAACTAGTCTTAGCAGAATTCATATCAAGAAATGTATGAGATCAGATTAAATGAAACTTAACATGAAATTCATAATCTCAGTGATCAGTCTAGCTGTATTATTATTAGACTGGCCGGCGGGACCATGAATTTCACATTTGGTCCCATTTGGTCTGGTTCCATACATTTCTTGGCGTGAGTCCCACCAGGACCAAGCCTCAAAAAAATCTGAAAATGGACCATTTCTGAGAGAAATGATGTGAAAAATGACCAGATTTAATTCAAGAACAGTGAAATGAGAGTAATTTTCCAGGATAAACTGTGAAAGATGATCATTCTTTCAAAATCAGAATAAGACTGAGACTGAAGATCAAAATCAGTCTCATTCAGTTCATTCAGTGATTACTTATATAATCAGAATTTGGTAATGATTATTGATAATGCTCATGAAACAACTAAATACATTCTTGTGCAAGTTTATTCTTCACTTTCTCATGAAAACTACACTTCTCTGATATACTGTGATCAGAGGTATTAAACTGTCTGATAATTTCATGTTTTACAATCATGAGTTTCTTGATTATTTCTTCTTATAATTGTCTCTGATGATAGTGATAAATATCTCAACTTGAGTTGAACTTTCACTTCATTCTCATCTCTGTCAATGAAATTGTCAGAATATCACATGTCATCAGTGCAACAGTTGAATATATACTCTCAATAATTTTTTATAACTCTAGAATTGATTTGATGTGTAAATTCATCAGATTATCTTGAAAATAGCAGTCAAATTCAGTTTTATAAGCATGTAGTTTTATCTGATTTTCAGTTGCAATCAATGTATGTAAGTTCTGTTTCAAAGTGAGTATTATAGTTCTATGTGATATGAAGTGTTATCAAAGATTATTACTTACTAGAGAATTGTATTTCACTATCTTCACATCTCAAACATCTGCTTATTCAAATCTCTGATAGTTAGCATTATAGTAGTCTCAGGCTAATTTAACATATGAGTCTTATTCCTCCTCTGTTCAATCTTGAGAAGTGTAGATATTAACTCAATAAGAGAGATCTAGTAGAGCTACTACAGCATAGTACTCTGTAAAAGATTATTCTATTTTACTGTAGTAATATGCCAGTTTATCTCTTACAGTAACAATAGCCTGTGCTATAGCATTATCTCAGACTGAATTTCTTTTTGAGTGATTCAACTGCTTCTCAAGATGAGTAAATAAACTGTTATACACTCACTAGACTGACTGCAGCATTGATGTATGAGTGATTGAGACTGTCTTTATTATCTTATAAAACTGAAACAGTAAATCAATCACATATTTCAACTGAGTTTACTTCATATTAGAAAGTTTCAATATCTGAATCTTTTCTCAATCAGAGTGTTACACTCAATAATCAATTATCTGATACAATTGAAGAGTCTGAACAGTCATCTTATATATTGAACTTTATCATATTCTAATATTCTGTATCATATTCAGTGATGTGACTGATTTGTTTATTTATTAAATATCATGAAATTGTTGTTATTGTTTAGAAGAGGTATAAATCACATTAACAATGTTTTAAATCTATGATATTTAAATTATTAGCTAATCTATTCAAAATTAACAGTAGTGTTACTAAAAAGTGTTATTAAAAAGCAATATTAAAAAGTATTGTCAAAAAACATTATCTTTTGTAAAGTGAATGTAAAAGTTACTTGAGTAATCACTTTCATCTCATTCTCATTCTAAGAATCAGTCATCTCATTATTCTTCATCTCAATGTTAAGATTCTTTATCAGTGTTTGTATCACAAGTTGAACCACATGAGTAATACAGAGAATATGACCTTGTTTATTATTTCAGAAATGCAAAGTCAATTTTTGCTTCAAGCTCTTCATCATAGTGTAGTTATTCACAGCATTATCAGTTGTAATTGTAAGAAGACTGAGACTAATATCTTAATAGTTATTTTTAATCACAGTCATTAATATCTCTACTATATAATTCTCAGTATGACTACTGATCAATGATTCAAATTCAATTAATGTCTCTTAATAAGTTCAGTTCTCATCAATATAATAACATGTAACTCTTATAAATGTAAGATTGTTTATACTAGTTCATGCATTCACTGTGAGAGATACTCTTCAATAATTCTTCAACTCTGATTCTAGATATTGTATATTGACTTTGTAGTATATCTTGAGATTGGACTGAAGACAGAATTGATGTAGAATATGAAGATTTGAATTAAGCATTTGAAGAAGTGTTCAGAATTCAGAGTTTTCAATTGATTAAAGAGAAAGATTCAGAGATATATATATGCAAAATAATTATTCACAGAAGTTATTAGATGAGAGTTATGAAATCAGAGTACTAATACAGAGTTGTTTTCACATGATTTTCTTTAAATTAGAAAGTTAGTGTTATCAAAAATTGTTATCTGATAGAGTAACTTATCAGCTCAGTAGTAATTTTCTGATTATTTTTCTTTTGTTATCTGCATTCTGATGACTTCAGATGTCAGAAAATTGCTTCAGAGTTATGATCAGTTTATGATGAATGTTTCTGAATAAAGTTGCAGTGATTGCAGCAAAGAGATGACTCTTCAGTAATCTGCAATACAATCTGTTAATAATTATTTCATAGTTCATCTCAATGTTTATATTAAGTTTTTCATAAATTTTGTGACCTGAAATCAGATATGAAGAATGAAGTGATTATTCATCATGATTGAAAGAGAGTATTCTGTGTTGAATTGTAAATAATATAGACTTTGTGATTCACAGTGATTTCTTGAAGAGTTTGTGAATCTTCAATAGAAGTAAATAAAGTGAAAGAAGTGAATTCAGAAGATATGATAATAATTTGAGAAAGATGACAATTTATTTTCAATAACTGATCACTGATGTGTGTAAGAAGAATTAATATAAGAGAAAATAATCTTGTTTCTTAGCTTAGTTATAATTTTAGTACTAACTCAGATTGAATATCATTGATGTATAAAAGTAAATAAATAATCTTGATTAATCTCTGTCATATTTCTTGAAATATATTAATATTATGAAAGAGAGTGTTATTAAATTGTATTATCAGATAATATCATTAAAAATATATTAATATTGTGAATATCAATGTTGAAAAAATGTTGATACTTATACATTATAGTGATTTGTGAATCATGATAGTTAAATATATATATATATATATATCATTCCTGACTTGATTACAACTTGTACAATAATTTTTGAAAACTCAAAATCAATTTTAATTATTAATAATTAAAAACTTAAACTTATAACTAACTAATATAAAAAGAAAAAAATCTACTTCTTCTCTTTCTCATTCTTCTTATCATTCTTCATAATTCACTTCTCATTCTTCTTCTTCTTCTTCTTCTCCTCCTTCTCCTTCTTCTTATCTGAGATGATAATCATCTTAAAATCTCTCTTCACTGTCTTCTCAGAGAAGGGTTCCTGCTGCTCCCTCTCAGCCAGGTCAAC